AGCATAGAGTTAAGACTTTAGAAGCAACAACAAAGCCAACAAAAGAATTTGAAACAAGGTAAAATGCAGATGACAATTAGCATTTCCTATAGAGTACATACACACACCTCCAGAAAAGAAAACCTGAAAAGCTATAAAACAAAGTGACTTTTGGAAACTGAAGAAGGGACTAGGACTAAAAGCATGATCTTTGGCCATAGTACATGGAGAAATTAAGTTGGCACTCAACTAGAAGCTTCCTCTCTTCTGGATAAGCTTTCACAGTACTGGAAGGTGCTGTACAGGTGGGAGGGGTCAGCAACAATCTCACCAGCTGTGAACTCTGTGAACTACAATAGCAACCACCAGATAAGCACACGGGTGCAACAAGGACATGAAAGTTATAGGGGTAGCCAATCACTTTCTGATTGGATTTAAGGCCTACTTTACAGAAGGAAATGTATGCAGATATTATAGATCTGACCAAAAACCCATGGTTGGAGAGCTTTATAGGCCTCAGAGGTGAACATACTACTATTATTTTCCTAAATAGACAAAGTTTCAATCTGCCCCCTAAATTAATTATCTCCATATTCATAGATTAGTGCAGCTCTCAGACCTCATCAAATTAGTTTCTTTGTGCAGTGGGCAGTAGTTAACATAGAAAGTCACAACTGATTAAAAAAAAAAAAAAAAATATATATATATATATATATATAGAGAGAGAGAGAGAGAGAGAGAGAGAGAGTTCTCAACCACAAAGGGGACATCTATATCACAGCTCCCAACCAAGGCTCAGATCTGATCAAGGAAGAGAGGGCATTAAGATTATAAAGCTAGGGATTAGGGAGGACTTGAGTCAAACAGTGTTTTCTGAATATGACCTCACAGCAGTTGTGATTGCCCAAACAAGGCCTGCTCAATACCAAGTCAGGCAACATTCCAGCATGGAGCAGGGAGGAGCTCATGAGCCCCACCCACTGTAGTTGGGAAGCTATTGGCAGCTGATACCTTCTGGGGAGGGGCAGTCAGTTTTCTTTAAAGATTTGATCCCAGGTAGGTTGTCTATGCTCCAGTGGATGGCCCCACACTATATGGACAACATAAATTGGTATCAGTGGGCTTTTAAAAAGGATACAAAGTTGAGAAGGAGTATTGGGGGGGGTGTTAGGGTGTGGATCTGGGAGGAGTTAAGGAGAGGAGGGTGAATACGATCAATATACATTGTATATACATGTGACAGTCTCAAAAAATTAATGAAAATCGTTTTAAACTTTTTTAAAAAATCATGTTCAGAAGCCTCTTCAGCCCAAACTAACACTTCATGTATTTAATTACATAATTATTTTTAAACATTCTCTACAACTGAATGGCCTGTTCCCCTATCTCCAAGTTGACTGCATGTGTTCCACTGTAGCTACTCCCTCGGCTAGGTTAAGGTTCTCTCTTCTTAGTATAAATGAGACTCTTATTATAACTGTCAAGCTCTGACATCTTCACATTCTAAAGTGTACCCTTAAGGCTCCTTCTCACCAGATGATTCCAATTGGAACAGCTATCATACAAGCTAAAGCTTAGGATCTCTATCAACAGGCAGCTACATATAACTGCCTTGACCAGCACAGCACTGGAAAGCATGGCCAGGTCAGGCAGCTAAAGACCATCACCAGATGCTCTTCTGGCTCTGACATATAATGCAAGATTATATGTCAGATCTTCAAATTTAATGTTCAAATATATAAGGAACACTAATAGACTTAAGTTAATTAAAAGTGCTTATTTGTTATTATCTTTAATTCAACTGGATATAATGATATTATAGATAATTTTCCTGAGAAATTTTCAGTATGAATTTTGAAACTACTTTTACATAGATACCATAATTGGAATATATTAAATTACACTTCTGTTTCACATCTGCCACTGATGGATTTCTATGAAGGCATCATTTACTTCCATTTTACTTCAAGAAACAGGAAACAGGCAAAGCCCAGAGGGAAGACTAACAGTTTACCCAAATAAAAAAATTCTTCAAGAAACAGTGATTTCTAACAATGTCTCTGAATCAAGATGCAACAAAAGAAAATAATCCACCTTATCTCCTGCTAGATGACAGATTGCTGGACTCAGATGAGGAATAGGTGGAGATACCTAAAATATGTACAAGCTGATCTAAAGGTATTTTTGTTTCAGTATCATAAATACTTTTTATAAGTCAGCATTTGGACCTTGCATAACTCGTAAGTTATAAAGTATATAAAAGGTTTCCAAGATAAAAATAAAAGTAACTTTGAAACATAATTAGGAAATGTATTTCAAAGACAACTGTCTGCAACTGACAAAACTTCTCTGGGACTTCAGATGAAGAATAATGAGAAACAACCCTCTACTGTTTTCTTTGCAGAGCACTATAAGGAACATGCTGTTAACTATTTGAGACAGATAGTTCAAAACAGAGAAGGCTGGGCATCTACAGATGACTGGTTCACTGCTATGAATTCACCTTTTTGCAACCATCTCCTCTAGTCACACTCAGACTGTACTAAACAGTAATCTATTGCTTAAGAGCATCCACTAGGCCAAAACAGGAACTCTTCACAACCACAGCCTGACCACACAGCAGAACAATGCAGCAGAATGTAGGCGGCACAATGCTCTTACAGGTTTTAAAGGGCTGAATGCAAGAATCTTACATTTGCTACATACAATAAACTACATTCATTTCATTGACTTAAAATGCCTGCTCAAAATAACCCTCACAACTTCTTTGTAGCAAGTGATAAGCTTATTAAGTTATTTAGTGGACATTTTTCAATGAATACATTTTCCCCATTCAAATGGAGCAAGCTATTTGAGAGTAATGCTTCAATGAGCATGTTATGTCACATCGTGCACTCAAACCTTGAGCTGTACACTGCAGTACCCATGATGCAGCAACAATAGCAACTGATAATTTTTAAAGGAAAACAGTTACAAGGAAATTCCCTATTTTGCTTTGTTTTGTTTTGTTTTGGAAACTGTATCACCAAATTAACTATGGCACTCTGGATTCAGTGTACTTTCAGTTCATTATTGAGATCATCATTGAAATAGAGAAAAGTTTTATGTTAGCTTCTATACTTTGTTCTGCTGTGTCCCATTTCTCCTAATGACAGGTGCTGTGGGCTGATCTCACAGGAGCAAAGGAGACCACGCTGAGGTCAGATCTCCTTGTGAGAGGCGAGGAGAGAGGGAAACTTTCACAGCTAGGAATGTGGTTAATGCACCCTCTATTCGGGTCTCAAGCTTTTCAGCTGGGGCATCACAATCCTGCTCTTCAGCAGGGGCACACTCACCCACCACCGCTCTCTGTGTCTCACCTTCTTAAATCAAAGACTCAATCCTAAAGCGTTAACAGAAGAATTACAAAGTAACTCTCTAGTTTGCATTTCCCATAATACTAAAATAAGGCTTTATCTCTAGTCTAGAACTTTGCTTTTCTAATACTGCAGAAAGCCTCCGTGAATCTGTTTAACGTATTTACTCTTTTCATCTATTCAGTGCCACTGGGCATAACACGTATTGCAGTGCGTGCCGCTGTCTTACACGGCGCCACATGACTCACTGTACCGCAGCGCACTCCACTAATCCTGTTTGGACAGCTGGGTCCAAGAGCTTCTCAGCTGCATTTTAATTGTTCCATCTTTTTTTCTTTTCCTTTTTATTTATCTCTATGGCAAACTACTCAGGAATTTAATTTGTCAGGCTTCAAAAGGTAAATTTTGCCATAATTTGTTTTCTTTGTATTAAGTCTATATGTGGCATGTGATTTTTTTCTCCCACAAAATCGAAATACATTAATGATTATCAATTACTTTTAAATAACGAAGTACAATAAATAAAATTTACAAAGGTTTAAAGTGGAAAGGTGGCTGATCACTACCATTATCTGCTGGACTGTGCTAACAGATATAGCATTTAGCTTCAAAAGGTAGCACTAATGAGCATGTTTTAAGATTAACATACTGTAAGCAGATGCACCCTACCAATCAGACATTTAAAAAAAAAAAGAAAAGAAAATACCCACTAAATAAATGGCTGGTGGAATAGAGGTCTCTTCTACACTTAGACTTTAATTCTATTTTTTATTAAAATATGGAAGACTTTGTAAAAAATTATGAAGAAAACTACAAAGCTCCCACTTTCTGACATGGCTGGAACACTGATGGCATGAGCCTTGAATCAATAACGGAGGCAGTGTCCGAGAAGAGCAACCCCCAAGCCTACAAGTGCTATTGAAACCACAGCCAGGGTTCACTGAGGAAATCTGTGTGGTCAATGTCTAATCATTAATTTCCAAAGTTAAAACCTAAGTCTAGAGAATTATATAGAACTGCCTAATAGAAACTTCTGCCTGAAACAATACTTAGCCAAGAACACACAGCCTAGAACGATGCTTTATAAAAAGGGCCAAGTGACTTATGACTCAACTCTCAGTGACTTTTAAAAGATGATGAAAACCTGTCTGCACACTGACAGTGTAAGGAGATGCTATGATTGGCAAGCGTGTGCTCCCAGGGACTGCACATCAACCTCAGCTCATTTTCATGGACACAAAGCAGCTTAAAATGGGTTTACAAATTTCTATTTTTCAAAACCACACATTAAACTATACATTTGGAAAGACACTTCATGTATAAAAAATTGGTTTCGTATTTTCTAGGTATTAAACTGTTTTTAAAAGTCATAATTTCCACACTAGAAGATTCAGAAGCCCAACTTGTGAATGTAGTGGGGGGGGGGGAGTCTATTGTTTAGAAAAGGAATGTTTTACGTGCTTAAAAAATAAATGGCCTTTGTTTAAGAAAAGCACTTGTTTTGGTATGACCCTATAATCAAATGAAAAACAGAATAATGTAAAAGAAGTACCATATGTTAAAGGTGACTTTGAAAAACAATTTACAAAGCAAAAGTTAAAAAGACTTAGTAAAGCCATCTATAAAGATATGGATGTTTAATGAATATTTCTCAGTAAAATTTACCCAGTGTTCTTGACATCACAGGCAGAGCAGAGCTCAAGACTAAGATTGACACACAGTTCCCAATGATCTGTGGAGAGAAGGAAAGAACAGTGAGCAGTAAAACAGCAGGTGGCAGAGAGTGGCTCACAGTTCTCTAGGAAGCCAGGTGCAGGGCAGACACCCAGAGCACTGGGCAACTTCTTGATGATACCATTAGAGTAGAAGTTAAACATAATGGGCCTTCCCATTTAAAGCCATCTCTATGAATCCCACAAAATACATATAATATAGGTGGAAATATAAAGTCATAGGATACTTAAATAATACACATTTTGTATCATTGATGCAGTTGTTAATTTGAAAGCTTCGACTATTAGATTAGAAAAAGAATACCTTTGGACTTCAGACTAAATCTTAAAAGTTCGTTGCTGCCAAGTTCTTTTATATAATATCTACTCTGATCTGTTTAACTATTATAAGATTCAGGCTTAGATTTGAAAACATTAGAAACCAAAATATCTAAACTCTTATAATCCATTTTCAATGTATCTTCTGTTTACTCTTCCATCTTCAATAAGAGCCACTGAAAAACACCAATTAGTATTTATAATCACCTCAACTAGATACTGGCTACTTATTGACTTTCAAGAATCTGTAGCCTTGGGGAGTCAACAAAGTCTGGCATACCAAGTTGGGGCAGGACCAAGCCCCTCCTCTTCCTGTATCCAGGATGAGCAAGGTATCCCACCATGGAAATAGGCTCCAAAACACCAGTTCATGCTCCTGGGATAGATCCTGGTGCCACTGCCAGTCCCCACCCCCAACAGATCAAGTCACATAACTGTCACCACATTCAGAGGATCTAATTCAGTCCTATGCAGGTTCCCCAGCTGTCAGTCCCAGGAAGGGGAGAGGTGAGAGGAGGGAGAAGGGGAGGGAGAGGGAACTCAGTTTGGTATATAAAATGAAAAATAAATTTTTAAATAAATTTAAAAAAGAAAAGAATGCTTAGGACAATAAAAAAAGAATCTGTAGCATTATGCATCTGGGCAGATGGATAGATATCCCATATATGTAATATGTATTGTACAGAGAGTTCTTTGCCATACACATGCATACATATATACAAACATATATACATAATACATAATTTAAATAGGCTGTAAATATAGACCACATAATAAAAAGGGAAACAAGCCAGCAGTTTTTAATCATTCTTCTTAGGCAGCCTGTGAGAATATTTTACAAATATCCATTTATTATGTAAGATAACAGTCTTTATTATTCTGGCCAATGGCATATCGTACAAAGTCAAATTAGCCTCAGACCACATTGCTTCTGAACAGAGAGCTCTTCCTTCTCACTTTAATTATTCAGAATTAAAATACTTTGTCTCTAATACTTGTAGCAATTAAGTTCTTCAGATTTCAGAAAAGTTCCTGAAGTACAGTTAGCATAGTCCAAGTTACTCATTAGCAATATGGTTTCTTTAAGAAGAAAAGGGGTCCTTTCAGGAGAATTCCACAGCTAGTTACCAAGTTCTGTAGTTCTATGCATTTACAAATGAATGGACGCAGTCCAAATTACACAGAGCACATCCTTTCCCAGTCACTCAACATTCCGAAAATCTTCCTTTGTGTGTTTGCTGCTTACAAATACCTATCAGCCCAGATGAACCATTCAGGGTGATTACTAACTAAAGCACTTGTTTGTCTTGGAAGCAAAAGAAAAGCCACCAGCACCTAAGACTTTACCTTACCTTTGTCATAGTTGTGTCATCCTTCTTTGGTGTAAAGTTTCCAAAAAATCTGAGGCTATAGAAACCAACAACAGAAGACACCATGAGATAGCTGTGAGAATGAAGGAAAAATGCTCCAAGAGAATGCACATATCCCAAAGCCTGAAGCCCACAGAAAAAGCGAAACACAACAAAAAGCTATTGAGGTTTGATAAGGACCTTCTAGCCAAATCTTACTAAATTACCATTGTCCCAGGAACTGACAGAAAACTTGTTAACAGACGTAATATTCAGCTGAAGAAAGGATACAAAATCAGAATGATTTCAAGTGCAGCTCCCACAAAGCCAAAAGTGGAGAGAGAGGCGCTTCCTATCCCAGGCTCCTGCAAGGAAGACACTCCTCAGAACCAGGGACCCCGTTACACAAGACAGTTCCAATTGGGAACAGTCAACACCTTAGAATAGCATGAATTCCCAAAGGCTAACTGACTTCATCACAAACTCAGCAGCATGTTAATAATTTTAAAAGGTTCAAAATTAACCTGATTTACCTCAACTGTACTTTTAAGTCCCTTGCCAAAATGATACCATTATAATTACTGCTATAAAATGGAACAATCTGCTATTGAGAAAAGCATCTTGAATATTTCAGGAAGTTTTTTAAAACAGACTAGTAGAAAATAGATGCAAACCAAGGCGGAAGCAACATATAAAAATTATACCATAAAGTCTACCAAATTTAAGATATATTTACAATTAATGTATATCCACTTTCCTTTTCCCAAATTTTTCCTCAATATTACAAATGTGTGACTGCTAGCACTTTTTAAAAAACTTAAAGTAATTTTAAAACAAAAAGCAGTGCATATATTTTCATAAGTATTAGCTCAATCTCACGACCTACCTTTACCAAAACTTAGACAAAACAGAATAATGTCCAGATGCTGATAACTGACAGCAAACATCACTCCCCACTAAAATAGAAACAGTACTTTTAAAGCTTACTGCTAGAGATTAAAATATGATCTCTGAATGTCCATCACCATTCCCTTGATTATCTTAAATTACAATACCAGAGGTAAAGCAAACTGCAGTCAGACTAATAAAATATAAACCAATAGATAATATCACACACACACACACACACACACACACACACACACACACACACACACACATATATATACACTCTAATTTGGACATAAAGGAGAATAAGCATGGCAATTCCATACATGATAAAGTCATGGCATGGGTATCATTTTTGTCGTTTAAGAGAACATGGACAATGCCGAGAGGTGGTGGTCAGATTTTGGACACACTATCCTAACTTGGCACCCTAGGAAGGCCCCTTGTTGTAGGTGCTGTGCTCCCTACCCCAGGGAAGAGGAGCCTCCTCCTCCCTGAAGGCAAGACCAGAAGCTGTGGAGATCATGATTAAGGAGCAGCACTCCACACCGTCATGGCCCAGCACGGCCACCACTGTCCACTGCTCAGCAAATGGAAGCTAAGCTTTCATAAAATTTATATTAAATAAACCAATCCACTTTTCTTTCACTATACCTTTTGCTACTCAGACCTCCACCTGAACCCTGTGCTGAATAAGGAAAAGACCCTACTTTCCTCCCCTATAAAGGTGTACGAGTCAAGATGGGAAAATGTTCTGGAATGTTCACTTTCTCAAGAGAGACTAGGAGAAAATTTTAAAAGGGCTCATACATTTACAGGAGCATGCAGGGAGCTCTGGAGGCACAAGTCACTGTACTGTGTAATACAGAGATGACACAAAATGCACCCTGCTCTTCCACCATATTAAAGTGTGGTGAAAGTCAATGAAAGTCACAGGACCAACTTCCTGGTTTGGGATTTTGCAATAAAGAAGACCAAGCTGAGCTACAGAGAGAGGAGTGTCCTTTGCCGAAGACACTCAAGGGAGAACTGCTGGGTGAATCAAGGGTGATAAGGGGGCAAGAGGTCCCAGACACACTGATAGTTGGTAAAGTCAAGAAAATGGCTAAAGAAATTAAAAGCAGGGTATCTTCATCTCACATGAAAAGAAAGGCATTAAGATAGGGACTGACTTTTTTCTAATGAGAAAAAATGCAACATCTGGCTTACAGAGATATGTGACATAACAAGTTCAGGAGGGTTTTTATGTCACCACTATGAGGGCTGGAAAGGCTACTGACCTAGGAAAACAAAATGAACTTTAAAATGTAAATCAAATACCACTTTATATATTCAAAAGCACCCAGATCTGGTGGCCCATACCTGTAACCCAAGTATGCAGGAGATAGGAGCAAGAGGATCATGTTAAGCTATCCTTGGCTCTACAGGGAGTTAGAGGCCAGGCTAGGCAACATGAGATCCTGTCCCAAAACATACACACAAGCATGTATTGTACATGCACAGACATGTGCATATGCATGCGTGTGTACACACACACCACCAGCAGCAGCAGAAGAGGGGTGTTTCCAAACTTTATAGACAGCAAGAAAAGTGTGCAAGCTACATATAGGGGAATACATCTGTAACCTCAGCACTTGGGAGGCTGAGGCAAGAGCATTGCAAAAGGGTGACAAAAGACAGTATGTTAACTATGAATATATAATGATATATGTCTTCCTAATAGAAAAGAAAGTCAAATATATGCCAGGATCTAACAAAATCATCAACTTTTTTATTTGGGATTATTTTTGAGATAGGGTCTTAATGTGTAGCCCAGGCTACCCTTGAACTCAAAATCACAACATTCAGTCTCCGAATTACATGCTAAGATTACATGCATGTGCCACCAATGACTATTGGAATCATCAATCCTTAAACCAGATAAAAGTTTACTCATGAAAAAAGCACATCTGGACTTTCCTCTAATAACCACACATCTTAAGCAATTTCATAAATTTTGTGATCCCTCTGACACACAATTCCCTCAACTTTTCCCAATATATAACAAATTTGTTTAATCTAGTAGATCTGCTCTTTATATATTACTATTTCATAGCATGCATTTTCTTTAAAGAAATACAAATAAAAATGTCAGTAAAAATCAACATCAAGTCTGACAGTCTATAAATAACCCTGATACTTAGAAAAAAAATGCCCTAGAAACAAAAGTGTGTGAGTGCATGCATGTGTGGTGTGGTGTGGTGTGTGTGTGTATGTGTTTATGAACATGTTTGTGAAAGCTCTTTATTCAGAGAAATTCATAGGACTTGGAATATTTATATCCAGAAAGGTGTTTCCAGGAACTTTTAGAAAATATTCAAACACACATATAAAAAAGACTTTTGAATGCATTTAACTTTACCCGTGTTCCCTTTGGCATTGCAGTCTCATCAACTAGCAGGCAAAGAATATTGCACGCCACCAAGAGGACCGAAATGGACTGCAACAGAGAGGGAGATGTCAGGTCTCAGTTTCAAACACTACTTTTGACAACACACATCACATGTCTCTTTCACAATGGGGGACAGTACAGTATATACAAGAACTCCAAGATAAATTCTAAACATTTATGACAGAAGTTAACAACAAAGATGGGTTTACTATGTAGACTTCCTAGTGAGAAGCCCAGAGCTCCACAGACTTTACTGGGGTGAGCTTTATCACACTTAATCTTGGAAGGGAACCCATTCCTGCAGCTTTTAGAGCAGCAGCCATGCTTTATGTTTCCTTAATTCTCCTCAAGCAAAACCTCAGTTCCTACTGCAGGAAGAAGTGCAACCTAAGGATTTATCTAATTATCATGCATTTCCATTTTTTGCTCGAGTGAATTTTTACAAACTGGGATACATTCAGATCTTGATTCTGTTGATAGAAACCAAGTTTACTGGAAACAGCTCCACTAAGGGAAACACCAAACAAGAGACAACACACTTTATTTAAGCCAGCAAGTAACTTCTTACTGTTTCAATAAGAAGTAGAACCATAACAGCAGGATACACCAAATTTCTCTCCCACGCCGAAGCCTTTTTTCGCCTCTCTATTAAAAAGATAACCAAAATAAAAATTTTCAGCAATTCCCAAAAATTCTCTCCAGGTTCATAATTCCATCATACCTCATTATATTGTAACCAGTCTACATAATTTTTGTTTTCCAAAACCAAAAAACATAAATTTTAAGATAGTTTTTTATTTTCCTCTACAAATTAAAAATCCATTTAAAATCAGCTTACTACATGAAAAGTTCAATCCCATAAAGCTTAAATTTCAGCACAGTAAAGACAATTTTGCTTTTAAGGAAATACTTTTGCTTTTAAGAATATATACTTGATACACATATATATACTGATATAGGCAGATATTTGAATGAATAAAGGAGTGTGAACAACAGTTCCCTCTAGTCTCAGGTCCAACACTGAGCATCTGTTTTCCAAAGATTATAAGGGAACTTCCCTTCTAGCTGAAACAAACGACTTTATACCATACCCATCCCATGCTATGAACACTAGGGAAGAAGTATTGAACTTGGAAACCATTTCTAGGTGTACTGGAGCAACAAGATAAGGAAAGAAAGAGGCTGACATTGTGTGGTGTAGTGGAGGTAAGCCCCAGCCCTCCCTGTGGGCATCCATCCCCAGCGAGGCATTTTTCAATATGGAGTTGACATGGGCCCAAGACTCTAAGAAATCAAGTGGAAACCAAGAGCCAATGAATGGCAAGGACTTGGAGTGGCTCAGCAGTCCAGAGTGGCAAGGACCTGGAGTGGCTCAGCAGTCCAGGGTGCCTGCTCCTCATCCAGAGGACCTGGGTTTGCTTCTTAGACCCACAATAGCTCACAATAGCTTGTAGCTCTTGCTACAGGGGTTCTGTAGGCACCTGCACATATGTAGCACACATACAATCGAGTAGACATGTGTGCACTCATGTGCACATGCACACACAAACAGAGAAAGAGAGAGAGAGAGAGAGAGAGAGAGAGAGAGAGACTTTTCCCTTTTCATTTGTAAAAGAGGCAAAAGCAGCAGCAATGTTGAGGCGAACCCTCAGGAAACCCAAAAGAGTCGGGGGAGGGGGGAGCTTGGAGAGAGCGAAATTCCAGAGAGAAGAAACAGGGAAAGAGGTAAGCCTGCCATGTAGATGCCTTCCTCCTCAAGGCCTCAGTAGTGGAAAATCTAAGAAAAGGCAGCGAGAGATGTAAATGAGAAGCCTGGAGCCCAGCAAAGCTGCCAGGCCCAAAGTTCACTAGGAAGCAGAGTCAAAATCAATTAGAAGCAATACCCTAGGAATATAGATAGCGACACAGCATATGGCCACTCTAACAGCATACCCAAAAGAAGAAAATATCCTTCAGTTTCTATAATTTTAAGAAATAGCCAAAAGTCAGTCAAACATTACCAGGAGACAAAGAGGGAAAGGAGCCAACAGAAACAGACCCTCAACTGGTCCACACACAGACTTCATAGGAAGAGACCTTAATTGATATTCAACTAAATAAGTGACAAAACAACAAAACTCACAAATCTGAACCAATGAATATAACCAAATGAAAATCCTAGAGCTGAAAAATACTGTAAATGTGAAATGAAAGAGTTAATAAAAAGTTCAAACAACAGTTATGCCACAGCTGAGAGGTACTAAAGTCAGAGCCAACCAGAGGACAGCATGAGAGGCTAGGGTGGAAAAAAAATGATAAAAGAGTGGGGGAAAGTCTAGTGTGTATTCAACTAGAACCCAAAAAAATCAAAGAAAATGGGACAGATAAAAAATTGATAAGGGGTCCTGCTGGGCACCATTAGAGCCTGGTGAATGAAGGACACACATATGTCTGCCCAGGGTGGCTTGCCCAGGATGGGGAAGATGGCCAGCTCTGGTGTGTGGGTTAATTTAAGAAAAGCTAGCTAGCAACAAGCCAAGCTAAGGCCGGGCATTCATAAGTAATAATAAGACTCCATGTGTGATTCACTTGGGAGCAGGGTGGCAGCCCCCATACACACAAAGGAGAAAAATATAACATAATAGTCTACAAGGAGTGGAGCAGGTCCCTCAGTACTGCTCTGGTCAAACCTATTGATATTTCAGAGCCAGGAAAGTGAATTAGTTATCTGCATTTCAAACCAGTTTCTTCCTCAAAAAAAGCCAGCATCCCAAAATGCCTATTTTCCCAACAAAAATTGCTAAGCATGCAAAGAAATAAAAACAATAATATGAAATAAAGCCAATAATTTGAAATTTATCAAGCACTAACAAAGATGTCAGAATTCACAGGCAACGAGATTAGATGTAGCTTTTGTATTAATTAGGGTTTCTATTGTTGTGATATACAACACCATGACTAAAAATAACCTGGGGAGTGAAGGGTTTATTTCAGCTTACAGTTGTAGTACATCATCTAAAGAGAAGTCAGAACAGGAAGTCAAGGCAGGATGTGGAGGCAAGAGCTGATGCAGCGGACACAGAGGGATGCTGCTAACTAGCTTGCTCCTCATGACATGTTCAGTCTGCTTTCTTACACTACTCCAGACCACCTCCCCAAGGGTGGTATCATTCACAATGGGCTGTGCACTCCCTCATCCATCATTAATCAAAAAGAAAATGTCCACAGACCAATTTAGTAGAGAGTTTTCTCAATGGAGATTCTCTGTTTCCAAATGACTCTAGCTCTATCTAGCTCAGACGTTCTCAACTTGCGTATCTCCAGCCCTTTGGGGGTCACCTAAGACCATCAGAAAATGCAGATATTTACATTCTGATTCACAACAGTAGCAAAATTACAGTTATGAAGTAGAGACAAAAATAATTTTATGGTTTGGAGTCAATACAACATGAGGAACTGTATTAAAGGATCTCAGAATTAGGAAGGTTGAGAACCACCACTCTAGCTTGGCAAAACAATAGACAACCAGCACAGATCTCGGAGGGGCTACAGAGACTGCTCAGTTGGTTAAGTCCCTGCTGTGCAAACCCTGAGTTTGAGCACCAGAATTGATACAAGAAAACCTAGTATAATGCACATGCTTCTAATACCAGGGCTGGAGGGGGGGAGGGGCAGAAACAGGAAGCTCTCTGGGACTTCTGGCCAGGCAGAGTAGCCAAATCAGTGCGCTACAGATTCAATTTAAAAAAAAAAAAGTAAAAATAAGTTGAAAGTCTAAACAAAAACAAACAAAGAAGAAAGCACCAAGGAAGAAATCTGGTATTAACTACTACTGGCATGCAGATGCACCCACAGGTGAGCACACATGCACACACATACTTAGAACGCTCTATAATCCTTCTTTTCCACCAGAGTTATAGGAAACAGACTGAACAATGTCAATTAACAGCATGAAGATAACAGGCCCAAGCAAAACTGAAAACCAGTGTCTGAGAACAAAACACAGCAGTTGGGATAAGAGACAGGCCAGACCTGCAGAAGAAAGGTTGAGATGAGTAAAACAGCAACAGAAACTATCAAAAATCAAACACACAGAGAGTCAGCCTTGAGCTACAGCCAATCTGCAAATAACTGAAGTCCCTGGAAAGGGTAACACAGAGGAGAAAAGAAAAATATCTGAAGAAACTAACAACTAAAATTTCTCTAAGTTATATGAAAAGTATGAATTCCCACATTCAAGAAACTTGATGAACCAAAGACCAAGAAAACCACATTAAGGCACATCATAAAAAACTACCTTCTATCACTCATAAAAATGACACCTTAAAAGCACATTTTAAAAAATAACATTGACAGAGATATTTTTACATATTATTTCTCAAAAATAAAACAAGTGGGGCTAACAAGATGACTCAGTAACTAAGGGTACCTGCCACCAGCCTGACAAGTCAAGTTCAATCCCCAAAGCCCACATTTGGAAAGAAAAAGACCCTATTCCTACAAGTCGTTCTCCAATCTCCACACCCACCCTGGAATGTGCAGTCACACTCAGGAAAAAATCAACTCAAGTGAAGAGACAAAAACCAAACATCTTTGAATATTAATGTATTTGAAAGGTAATCTCAGGGGCTGGAGAGATGACTCAGTGGTTTAACTCCCAAAAGGTGGTTCACAACCACCAATAACTCCAGTTCTAGGGGATACAAAGATAGACATGCAGGCAAAACATTCATACATATAAAAATAAATAAGCCTTAAAAAGTAATTTCAGAGAATATACACTTACTCTCTCCCATAAGAAGGATCAGGCAATGACTCCAAACACAGATAATTTTTAAAACAAACTAAACTTTCATAAATTTTCAAATATCAAGATTATTTATAGTCTTTTAATAACTATCCCAGACCAACAAATAAATCCAAAAAAGTACATTACCTAATTTTGTCTTAAGGGTCTTTACACTCTCAAGTTCCTGCTCCAATTCCCTTGTGTTGTATTCCACTGATGAGGACAGCCCTAGGAAAGCAGAGGTATTGTAAGTGCAGCAGTGGAAGCCCTCATACCAGAGAGCAGGTAGACCACTAGTGGAAATACAGAGCAGCTGGGCCTCACTGATAGGTGGGAAGAACAAATGATGCTGTGAGTCACACGAAAACTCAAAAGCTTGCCATTTGAAGCAGCAGCTCTCAGCATGTGGGTTGAGACCCCGCTGGAGGTCGAATGACCCTTTCACGGGGATCGCCTATGACCATCAGAAAACATAGACATTTCTTCTGATTCAAACAGTATCAAAATTACAGTCATGAAGCAGCATGTTTCTTAGAAAAACGTCTTTCCTTGCTTGATCTATTATCTTAATCTTTTTATGTACTTACTATAGCAAGAACAAGGAGTCAAAACCTTGCACTCTCTAGTTTGCTTTCCTAAGATGACAATTATCACCAGTGTGGCTGGGGCTTCCGTGGCTTCCTTCACATTCATATTTAACTTCTGTCTTACATATGGGTTTTCTCACTCATCCGAATTCTTAGACAAATGTCAAACCAGAAACATTAGTCGACCGTTTGCTGTTGCCTGTCAATAAACATTTCCTAACAGCTGAGTGTACATACCACAATCTGGGTGTGCTGTGATTTCACTCAGCATTATTTCATTTGTCAGTATTCTGGTGAACATTAATATAGCCAGTTCATTTGCTTCTATTATTTCTGTGAGACAGATTTCCAAACTTCAGAATGGTGGGCCATTTGCAGTTTTAAAAGTTCTTTAAAGTTTACAGTTCCCAAATATTTTTATGTACTATAGTAATTCAAATTATTGTAATAGTTTCAACTTCTATTAATAGCTTTTGAAAATTTCTATTTTCAAAATGCCTGTATCGTCACCAGCACTGGATGTGGCCAACTGCTGAACTTTTGCCAAAGTGGTGAACTACTTAAATGTACATTTTCCTAAATGCATCAGATCACATCTCATGTTACTTCAGGTATATGTCCTCATTCCCACTTTCTACTTTTCTCTCTAGTAGTCTGTGTATAATATCTTCTTGTCCTTTCTACTTCATCTCTTAAATCCTGAAACAGATAAATTTAAATCCCCAGATACAAATGTGCCAGATTGTGTTTCCTCCACTGTTAAATGATTATTTTTATTTTTATTATGAATGTGCATTTGTTTGCTGAGGGACTGTTAGATGTTTCTTTGAAAACATCATTTCATAATGATTATTTTCTTAAATGTTCTGCAACCAAAATTCTGTTTTGAGAACTTTAAAGTTTTCCTTCCTTTTTGGGTTTTATTTGCTTGGCATTTCTGTGAGTGTTTCACTGTAATCATCCCTTAGCTAAATCTTATTTGAAGTTCAATCTCTATTAGGTACCAATTCATTGGTAGCCAGCAGGTGGTGGCACACGCCTTTAATCCCAGCATTTGAGAGGCAGAGGCAGGCAAATCTCTGTGAGTTCAAGGCAAGCCTGGTCTACAAAGTGAGTTCCATGACAGCCAGAGCTGTTATACAGAGAAATTCTGTTTTGAAAAAAACCACAAAGCCTCAGGCCCATGGGAAAATTAATGGCAAAGCCTTCCTTCCAGGCCCAAGTGCAAATGTTGATTGTGAGTACAGAAAAATGTACACCATAGCCCTCCCCCAGGACTATTTATGGTCTGAGGACTGCTCGCCTACAGAGACTGTTATTGCTCAGATTAACTAACCCTGCCTCCTTGTTCAGCTCTGCAATAACCCTGCCTCCCTATTCAACTCAATATGATAAGCATTCTGAGTTTTGCTTGCTTTGGTTTTCCCATCAGAGAGCCCAGTCCAACAAAATTCGATTTCTTTCTGCGTCTGTCTTTTCTTCACTGAAACCTAGAAATAAGAAAACAAACCAGAATGACAAGAATAAGTAAAGTATAAGAGGTAAGAATGTCAGAGCTGCCTTCAGTCAGGTCTGTTTCTGGAGCCTTGATGAACACAGCACAGCAGGGAGAGGTCAACCTAATCATCTAAACCCAGAAGGAAACCTCAGGACTGCTTCCTTCCTCAGCTAGGAAACATAAGAGGGAAAGGGAAAACTGCAAAGCTTTGCTTTATCAGGGAAAAGGCAAGCAGGACCTGAGCAAGATGATGTGCTAAGTAGCTCACCCTCATTTATTCTGTTCTTCCATAGCCAGTTCACCCTATTACCGTCAATAAAGTGCAGTACCTGCTTTCAGAACAACCCAGTACATCAGCTTTCCACACTATTTGTCTTAGTCTTCGGTCAATTTTTAAAAGTTTTGTCCTTATCAGAATGAGATGTGCACAAAGCTCAGTGTCAAGCATTTGCTTGGGCTTCTTTCAATGCCTGCTTCTTCCTAATGTCACCTCACCAAGAGGTGTTTTGTTGATTCTTCACGCCTCACGGTGGCCAGGAAGCAGAAAGAGAGGAAGGAATCACAGACAGAATAGCCTTTCAAGGACATGCCTCCAGCTTTTTGAAGCTAAGAGCTACTTTCTAATGCAGTGTTTTTCAGCCTGTGGGGTCATGACCCTTTTACATAGGTTGCCTAACACCATCAGATAACACAGACATTTACAGTACAATTCATAGCAATAGCAAACTTACACCTAGGAAGTAGCAAAAAAAAAAATAATGTTATAGTTATGGGTCGTGACCACACAAGGAACTGCATTAAAGGTCTCAGCGTTAGGAAGGTCAAGAACTCCTGCATCTTGCAAACTAGCGCCACCCGCTGGAGCCTTTTGTCATGAGACTACAGCTTCAGCACTGCTTTTGAGAAGTCTGCAGCAAGTCTCAGTCTGCTTGTCAAAGACACTGTAAACTGCACAGGATCTTTGTTCCCAGTGCTCCTGCTGTGAATACATGTCAGTGCAGTGTTGGAAACACAGTGAGCATTCTCAATCCCAAAATTCATACACAGACGAGAGCAATTTCTTGATCCTGTCATTTTTTCATATTTTCTCTGTTAGCCTTGTCTGGAATTAATGTCTTGTTAGCTAGAGGCTGTCTCTACTAAAGTGGTCTCTAAAATTCTTACCTCTTATACTTATTTTTGTCATTCTGGCTTATTTTCTTATTTCTAAGTTTCAAGAGGCAATTTGATGTCCCAGGTGATAGAGCCTTGGCCTTTCTCATGAAGTGGCCTCCTTGTCCATCTGAGGGTATGAGGAGCATTTCTTCTTGAGTCATTCTTCCTCCATACGCCCCATATCCACATGCCCATGTCTGCTTGTGTTCACATGGGAGGCTTCCCCCGTCATCAGTCTTAGTTGTTTGTGTTTTAAAAATGAAGCTATGAGAAGTAAATGCTGGTCTGAACTTCAGACAAGATGAGTTTCACACGTAGGAGTCCAGTGATTCCTATTGCTAGAGCTGCAGAACTTTCCTCCTGGGCAGTTCCTGAGAAGAACCCTCCTGACCTCCATCTTGTCTGTACTAAGATGGACTAAGATGGACAAGAGGCATGTGCCTGGCACCTTGGATGGAAGCAAAGGGTATGGAGATTAAGCCACTCCATGACAGCTTTTCAATGAGCCCTAGCTATCTTAGTGCATTCTACCTTACCTGGTGGTGCCACTTTGTGACTTTGGGAGATTCTAAGGAATAAATCAAGCATAGATGACTTAGCAATAGGCTTCTTTTGTTCTGTTAAACTGGCTAATTCCAACATTTTCCTGTCTGCTAAATTCCAATTTTCTATTGTGGTTTTCTCCTTGGAATTTTCTGTCCTCTCAGGTTCATGATTTTCTGGTCTCACTACTCTCACCTGTGGAACTGCATGGATCCATCAGGATGCTTTCCAGTAGGTCACAAACCCAAAGTTAAGATTAGAATGTACGAGAAGAGCAAGCCTCAGTGTGGTTCTCTAGCAGCTCAATAGTGACATCAAAGGACTAAACTGTGCCTCCCACAAGCCAGACTGGTGTGTGAGGAGTGGGGCTTCTCCTCTAGGCAGGGCAAATGTGTGGATTATCTATTCTACCTTGTCTTTATTTTTTTCTTTTCCTTCTCTTCCGAGCTATAAGGATCTGTGTTGATTGTTTCCTGAGGTTCATTGGGAACTTCAGTGCTAACCTTCTTTCTCATTTGTAGTTCTCCTATTGGGATAGATTTTTTCATTATAATATCAGTATAAACAGCCTTCACCTACAGCCCGCTTTTATGTATAGAGAGTACTGTGTCAAGGTAAAACTCTCACCACCACATTAGCTAATCATTCCCTTATGGTTTCTCACCCTTCCCTTCAAATCTTCATCTTGCTGAAATAATATTTCAAGACTAATGCTACATTTTTTCTTTCAGTATAGACATTAGCATAGTGTCTGGCATAAATTCAGTTCTCAGTACAGTGATGTGAAATGAACACATGAATACTGTTTTTTGCCCTAACCAATAAGTGACATCTTGGGGAATGTGTGTGTAAAACCCTTTATAACTGCATACATTATTTAGTGGCCTATAGCAAGTTGCAGATGGTAAATTGATGCTGAACTATCTATCATTTTTTTCTGAGACAGGGTTTCTCTGTGTAGCTTTGTGAGCATGTCCTAGAACTCACTCTATAGACCAGACTGGCCTTGAACTCACAAAGATCCTCCTGCTTCTACCTTACGAGTGCTGGGATTAAAGGTATGCACCACCACCACCTAGCTGAACTATCTATTTTAAACATATATGTTTACTAAAAATAATTTTTCATATAATATATTCTGATAACTATTTCTACTGCCCCAACTCCAAATCCTCTTCACCTTCTTCACCCTCCTAACTATACTTTCTTTCTTTTTCTTTCTCTTTAGAAAACGAACAGGCAGGGGCTGGAGCACTGGCTGCTCTTCCAGAGGTCCTGAGTTCAATTCCCAGCAACCACATGATAGCTCACATCCATCTGTAATGAGGTCTGGTGCCCTTCTGGCCTGCAAGTATATAAGCAGGCAGAACACTGTATACATAATAAATAAACTTAAAAAAAAAGAAAAAGAGAAAAGAAACCTTGTCTCAAAAAGCAAAAAACAA